GTGACCGAGGACCATGCGAGTAGGTCGCGTGCCTCGCCAAAAGACGAGGCCAAAGGACTTTGAAGAAGAAAACCCCAGCAGAATTGACAATGCATCAAATCACAACTTCACACTTGTACTATTCCGTTCCTGTCCCACCTGTGTACACCCCAAGTCTCCAATCCTTGCGCAATCTCAAAACAGCCAGCCAGCTCCGACGTATCCTGGTGAATGTATCTGGCTGGCGAGAAAGGAACAAGGGCGCCGCTTTTCCAACCTCTCCCACCCCCTAACCCCTTCCATCCGTCATACATCATGCCTCAGCATCCAGGTGCTTCAGACTATGTAGAAAGTGATCCCCCGCCATAATGCGTTCCCGAAGAGTGGCTCAAATGCAGGAGGAGTCTTGAATGGCAAACGCAGCAAGGTATCATATGTGGCAAATAGCGCCCGCGCCTGACAAAGCAAAAAGGAAATCTGACCACTGCTGCTGACCGACCGACCGAGAGGAGATGGATAGTCTGGTCTTGTGCAGCGGCATGCCACCAAAAGCAAAACCGGTCGAGTCCGCATCTCACTTCCTCGACGACCTGATTGTTGTCAGTACTTCCTTTCCTCATCCCCATGATGTAGTTGGGCGCTGGAATACTGACTTCTTCTTCGATGGCTTTCCTGCGACCCAGCTTGCAAATCCAGAACCGGCGGTCTTGGACTTCCTCTTTGGCGGCTCGGCAGTGACGACGTCAACACCTGGCGGGGCCCCACGACCCGGCCGCTCGCCAGGACGGTGCATGTGAGGAGGTGGCGGTACGTGGTGGCCACCGCCCCCGGGCCGGGCCCCGGCAGGCATCATGCCGGGGGGCATCTGCATTGGGCGCTGTCCGTGTGCCGCCATGTGCGCCAGGCGCGCACGTAGTTCTTCTCGAGGATCTCGGCCACCACCCGGTCGCATCTGCACACCAGGGAATCCGGGCGGCATGCCGTGTCGCTGCGCGTGCATCTGCGCATGCATCTGCGCCGACTTGCTTTCGGGCCACATGCGCATCTCGATCGTCCAGTCCGGCTCGAGCACCTTATCCCAGACCTGGGGCAAGATAATGTCGCCGTTAGGTCCGATCAGATCATAGTGACCGTCTTGCACCTGCTGTCCGATGACATCGACGTGCTGGAAGGCTTGCTTGATCAAGTCTTGCATATCCTAAAGGAACAGTCAATCGACCAGCCCAAGTACGCCATCTTGGATTCCACATACCTCCCACTTTGCACAAAGGTGGAACGGGAAGCTGAATTTCCTTCCCACTGCATCCTTGAACTTGATCGGCGCCTTGTCTTTCGTCTTCTTGGCGTCTTCCTCAAACTTGGCTTTGGCTTCCTCGGTGAGCTTCTTCTTCATGGCCTCCTCTTCCTTCTTCTTCTCGGCAGCGTCCGCCGCAGCCTTCTCTGCTGCCTTGGTCTCAGCTTCGAGCTTGGCCCGCGCTTCAGCCTCGGCTTTGGCTTTGGTTTCCTCCTCCCACCTCTTCTTCGCTGCGGCGTCTTCCGCGGCCTTCTTGTCTGCAGCGAGTTTGGCCTCTGCTTCAGCTTTGAGCTGGGCCTCGAATTTTGCCCGCGCAGCGGCCTCGGCTGCCGCACGCGCGTCGTCTTCCCGCTTCTTCTGCTCGGCAGCCGCCTTCATTTCTGCCTCGTACTTTTCCTTGGCCTCCCGTTGGATTCTGGCCATGGTTTCGGCGTGGAGTTTGGCTTGTTCGGCCTCGTGTTTCCGCTCGGCTTCCATCTTCTCGCGTGCGGCTCGCTCCGCCTCGGCCTTGGCGAGCTCGAACTCCTTCTTCGCCTCCTCGGTGGCTTTCCTGCGAGCGTCTTCCCGAATCTTCAGCTGCTCTTCGGTGTCTCTTCGAATCTTGGCCTCAAACTCGCGCCGCCTCTCCTCCTCGTCCTTTTTTGCCTGAAGGGCCTGGAAAGCCTTGAGCTGCTCCTGCATCTTCTCCTTCTCTGGGTCAGGCTTGGGTGGTTCGGGCGCCGCTGGGGTTTTTGGACGGGGAGCAGGCGCCTCGGTTGCTGGAGGAGGGGGTGGCGAATACATGTATTGCTGCATATGAGGCGGGATCTGTTGCTGATAGCCACCGTGACCACCATAGTAGCCTCCGTGTTGATAAGGCATCATCTCGTGATATGGGTGCCTAGGCCCGCCCTCAAAATAGCTCTGGCCACTGCCGTTCGACATGGGCGAAAAGGGGTTTTGCTGGAAATTGCCGAAGGAAACCATGCTCTGTTGAGGACCGCCATAAGGACTCGGCATGTATCCGCCCACATGGCTCTGGGGATATCCGCCGGGGGGCGCAGGTTGTTGATGGCCGCCACGTCCGCCGAAGTAAGGGTTATGGCCGCCGGCATGGCCCGGAGGGCCGTAGGGACCACCGCGGCGCCAAACGGCGACCCGTAGTCCTCTGCGGAATCCAGACTGTCGGGGGGAGCAGGCCTGTAATGGCCCGGAGCTGAGGGTCGGTGGGGCAAAACGTGCCGCCGCGGGGCAGCGTGGTGAGACCGAGAACGAGAACGAGACCTCGAGCGCGAATGGTGATAAGGTCGAGCGCTAGTCGACGCGGAGTCTTCAGGGTCGATCTCGCCGTGGAATTCTTCACCCCAATCACCGCTGGAACTGTAGTCTTGACTCTGGTGGGAAGACGAGTCTTCTCCCTCGCTGAAAGAATTTGATCGGGACGTAGGGTGTCCTTGCTCGATTACGATGGTAGTGTGCCGTCGTCTTCGTAATAGTTAGCAAAGAGTGCCAACAGCCGTGAATGCTTGTCTATTGAGACTTACGACATTGGGGCTGGACTCTTGTAAGATGCTTTTTTGCCCACGACGATCATTATAACGTCAGGTAGCAGAGTATGTGATCGAGAGGTCGTGCAACGTTGTCGCATAGCGTATGTGGTCACGAAGGGTCTGGGGATTGCATGGTGGTTTTGTTGTATGTTAGGTATCCTTGGGTATTCCACAGGATCGATGCGAACGTTCGTCTTGTCGTGGGAGTCGGTATCGGCTTTTTGGTGCAACGTCCAGAAGCGAGGCGCAGCGGAAATGAGAATCTTGTGCGGGTTGCGCGGGCGCAGGCTGGAGAGAAGGATGAAAGATCGCGGGTTGCGGCGGGCACAGATCGGAGGCGGGGGGTTCCCTGTTTTGTGGTGCCAGTCCTGAGCGGCTGCGTAGTTGGGCGCAAAGGCCCTGGGGCAATTGGGTATCGGACCTGCGGTGAGGGATGGACCAAGGGTGGATATGGATGGAGGCTTAGAAGGCCCAGCTCAAGGGTTGCACGCTGTGGGTCGTCAAAGGGTGGTAAGGTAAGGTAGGCGCGCTGGATGTAACAAGGCGGGGAAAACGGCCCAAATGACGGTTCTCGGTAGTCTGGCGAGGAGGCGGTGATGATGTGCAGGTTGTTGTGAGCGTGTACGTTGGGGCGAGGTGGGCTGAGGCGAGGCGAAGAGGGGGAAAGGGGAACGAGACGCTTTGGTCAGACGACGCAGTTCTATGGCCAACAAGATACATGTAAGAACAAGCTGGTGGCAAGTAGCCTGCTAGGAACAGTTTGGTCAGTGTGAGGGTTCCTGTGAAGAAGCATGCAAAATCGATTGGGAGGTAGCGGTCAAATAGTGCAGTCTGCATTCCATTGCAATGTGATGCAGGCGGCCGGTGTCATGCTAAAGCGGGACGAAGGGGGGGATTTGCTCGAAGGGCTTGAAGGGTTGACGGGCGTCTGTGAATGAGACCCCTCAGCTGCGTCGTGACCCCCCCTGTTACCGCAGCGTTCCTTTGCCCCTCTGCCCCTCCGGCTTGGCCTCTTTTCCCTGCCGGCTGTTAAGTGTCCAGGCTTTGCAGAGCCCACTTGGGTCCAGATTCGCCAGGGCTGATCAGCATGCTGGGCATCGGCGCATGCTACAGGCCGTGACAGGGAGCCCGGCATGTGTCGCAATGCGATGCTGCAACAAACAGAGACAACATGGAGAAACACATCTAGAGCAGGCACGTACCAGGTGTTGTTGGCGTCGATCCAACGAGTTAGACGGCCTGGGTGTTTAGGTTTCCCTAGGGTCGTCGTGTTTCTTTGTTGAGGGGGGGTCTTGCGTTGCGGGACGGCCCTGTCCTCGCCCTTGACGCGGAGAACGTTTGGCTACCGCCCGTTCGTTCCCTTTTGTGTTCGCAAACAGTTGCCGCCGTTGCACGAGGCGAATGTTGGGTGTGTCGATCCAAGACGAGCCGAACCGCAAAGGACGCGGGCCGTAAGCCGAAGTCGTCCGTCGTCTGGCCTTGGCTTGCTCGACGCAACGACGAGGAGGAAATTGGGAGGACGTCGTTGTCTTATGTCTCAAGGCGGTTTGGGGGGCTGCGCAGGTCGCAGGGAGGGAGGGAGGATTACCTGAGGCGGCACAGCTTTGCTTTTGGGGCGGATCACCTGCAGCTCAGGTGGTGGTGTGCGCGTGGTGTGGGAGAGGGGAGTGCCAGGCGACGGGCGATGGGCGATAAGCGGAAGATGTTGACTGTGCACACCAAAGCGGTAAAGCCAAACAAGGTTCTCTCGAGGCACCTGTCCTTGACAATGGTGTTGTTGCTACCGTTGCCGTGGTGTTAGTGGTGAACGGGTGCGACTGCGATTGGAGAGGGGCTCGCACTTGTCCAGTCCGAAAGGGGCAAGGGGGAGGGGGAGGGGCAAGCTGCGAGAGGGAGCCTTAGGATTCAGGTGAGGTGAGGTCAGAGCAATGGGTTGGGGGAAGGAGGGGTCGAGGCCACGCCTTCTGGTGGGTAGGTCCAATGAAGTTATGCTGCTGCAAAGACAGCTGCGCAGCCTGTTGGTCCTTGGTCTTGCAGTCGCTCTTCCGAGGCCTGGATCCTCTTTTCTGATACCGACGTCAGGAACGGGAAAAGGCTGTGCCTGTGCTGCCTGCTGAGCGGGCCCTGTGATGCAGACGATGGCGAGGAGAAGGGAAGGGGGGGGGGCGGAGGGAATGTGCGTTTCCTGGGTTCCTGGTGTGGCCAATTGCACGTGGTAAAGGTCTCTCTCGCTTTCCCTACTGGAGAAGCTGCCGCAGATCAAGTCGGTAATATATGTATTCGGTGATTCGATGATTTTCCACTGTGCCTTTGCATGTACCACATAATTTTTCGGATTCACGTCCGATTGCTCAAGCTGTCGAGGATGAGGTGGCCCAAGAGATGAGATGGTCAAGAGCCTGTCCCGGAAAGCAGGAAGTTTCACGAGATGACCCGCCAAATCCGAGTCGGCAACTTGGATGGAGTGTGCTTGTCGTGCTCCTGATGACGAAGAATATGAATGCTGCAACTGGTTGGCAACTTTTAGTCCTAGAGCATGGGTCACGCCGCGTGTAAGTGCTGTCGTGTTCGATGCTCCAGAGGGTCAGCTGGCGACATGATTGTCCAGCTTTATAGAGAGGTTCCGACGACTCGCCAGCTCTCCAGACATCATTCAACCGGGTCATCCCAGAACAATTCACTCAACATCAAACGAGAACTGGTAAAGTCACGAGGAAGCCCAAGACTTCCAACGTTGGCGAGCCAGCACAGCGTATCATCGTGAGTTGGCCGCGTCTTCGTGTCGGGTTTGACTCACGGCCAGCGCATCCGCCGGTGGGCCTCGCTCAACCCTTTCGTTGGGCGAACAGTCTAGAAGCGAACAGATCCACTAGGCAGCATACATCGCAGGCGTCATTGGACCTCTCAGACATACCAGGAGAGTTGTCTGACAGTGACAATGACAAGCGCTGCCCCATCAGTCGCGGTGAAACCCAATCGGGAGCCCTAATGGCCCTGATGCCTGCCTGAAGGAATCGTCTCTGCCCAATTCGCGTTCTCTCCCATCATCGGCCACGTAAAGCTACGCCAATGACCATCTCTGCCTATCGCCGGCACTGCTGCCGGACCTCTCCACCCTCTCGATCTCACGCGCCATGTTGCGTCTGGTTGTGTTGTGTTGGGCGCCACATCTTTGGCTTCCGGACCATCCATAGAAGACGGCAACTATCTTTGATAGGTATTCCGAGGATCCGGCTCACATCACAAGTTGATCCGAGAAGAGCTGTTATTCTTCCGATACAAATACGGCATCCACCACTAAGGTGCCAAGGTCGTACAAGCACATGAGATCCAGTCATATCAAGTGCTTTTGCATTGTGTCGGTACATCTCCTAACCGACCACATCACACAAACACTCGGGGATATATACGCTCCACCATACTATGGGCATCATCATCTAACCACATCCACCGATTCCTTGCTCAAAAGGTCCCGCGCTGCCGCGACCTCGGATTCGCTGTATCCTTGCCATGACTTCTCGCCAGCATCCTTTCGACGCACAATCTCGATAGCTTCTTTGTGCCAGCTCTCTCAACTTGTGAACTGTAGCTTCGTCGGGAGGGGACCAGTCATCCGCATCGGGCTGTTTTGCTGACTTGGAATCATCTTTCAAAAGCTTGTCGGTAACCTATGTGTCTCGTCAGAAGAAGCGCCACATTTAAACGCCAAAACCACGTACCAGCTTCAGGCCATAGTAGCCGCGTAGGTAATCATCGCAGAGCTCAATACTCCTGGAGAACCTCTTGAGCGACTCCGTCAACCGCTTCAACTGAGGGCCATCGGAAGCTGTGGCGGCCATGTAGAGGACCTCGCCCAAACGAGCATGCATCTGAAAAAAAGTCAGAACTCGAGTGATACCCCGCTTAGTTGAGGCAGCTTACATTCCAAGCGTTCGGGGAGAGCAGCAGCACCTCCTCTAGGGCGAAGATGGATTGTGAGTACAGCCCCTGAGAGAGGTAGATATCAGCGAGCTCCGCCCACGCCTCGGCATCGGTAGGAGAGTAATCGAGTAGCGCATTCAGCGCATCGATGGCCTCAGAGGTCCTGCCGAGAGACCTTAGGAGCGCAACCTTGCGCTTTAGCGACGGGCTGCTATGATGTTAGCTTCTGGCCCCAGCCACCCGAAGCGTCCCACTCACTATATTTGTGTTGTCGGGTCCCAAGATTGTATCGTACTCCATCAGCAACTGTACAATCTCGCCCTGGTTGTCTGCCGCCGCCTCCTTAATGAGGCCCTGGAACGCCCTGACGCGCTCGTTGTCGATGCCAAACCGAGTGACCAGCCTCTCTAGACACTGATACGCCGACTCGGTGTCTCCGGTGCGACAACATGCCAGGATGAGGTTCTCGTAGACGACCCAGATCTCGGGGGTCTCTGCAGCTGTGAAGAGGGCGAGGAGAGGATTCGAGGCGAAAGCCCTAGGGTTGTTCTTGAGGATCGTCGGGGCCTGCTGGGCGAGATGCAGCGCATCAGCGGGAGAGAGGTGGCCTTGCGGCCTGGTCAAGACTGGCGCCATTATTCAAGACTTCTGCCTCTAAGAGACTGGTGGGACTTTAAGGATCGGTGTTGTGAAGTCCAGGTCGATGCGATGGCAACCCGCCTTAGGTTGCAATCGGTACCTAGCAAGAGGCAAGCTGTCTGGTGGCGGTAGCTTCAATCTGATGCTCGCAGTCTAGGAGGCCCACTTTGGATTGGACCAGATGCTCCACCACGATGGTATCCACTTTAGTAACCACGATTGATTGGCCTTGGGTCGCGGGCCACGGACTTTCCTCTTGCCGATGATAAGTCCCACCTTGGAGCCCGGACCACTTTCAATGATCAAAATTGTTGGCTAAAAATTTCCCCTCGACCGCAAACCTTTTACTTCTTCCACCCAGCCTCGAGACATCGCGACTGGGCCACCTGCGCAGGAACAGCTGCGCTTTTCACCAATCCTGGTGATTGAGGCTACGACCAGTCATGGCGTCTTCGTTGACTCCCGCATCTGGCGCCTCGGCAGACGAGCCAGGCCTGGTCGAGAAGACGGCCGCCCTCGTGCTTGCCCAGCCAGATGCGCAGCCCAAGAGCCAGGATTCACCACCGGCTCACAGATCTCACGACCCGGAGAACAACCTGAAGCGGAGCGACCCGTTTCAGTTCGGCAGTCGTCTCTTCAACGAGGGAGACAACGTCTACGAGTTCAATGCATGGGACCATGTCGAGACTGACGATGCATACAAGGAGTATGCTGAAGAGCAGTACGAGATGCAGCGTCAGTCTCCAGTCTCTGACTTTGACAAGAGTGAGTCTCCTTTTTCTTTTCCCACCACCCCAAAACAATCCCTGGTTTCATGATGATCCCACCAATTACGCATAGTTCACCTGAATCTTTGTGATGAGACTGCATATGTTATAGTCTTTCGCTCCCATCTGATGTTACAAACCTCTTGATTACTCTTTTCATCGAGCTGCTCTGTCTTGGACCTGAACTAACCAGACAACAGATAGGCTCAATGCCAACCCAGCTCGTATGTGGGATCTGTTCTACAAGAACAATACTGCCAATTTCTTCAAGAATCGCAAGTGGCTGCAGCAGGAATTTCCTATCCTTGGTGAAGTGACCAAGGAGGATGCCGGCCCTGCGGTGATTCTGGAAATTGGTGCCGGTGCCGGCAACACGGCGTTCCCCGTGTTGGCGAATAACAAGAACACCGCACTCAAGGTCCATGCTTGCGACTATTCCAAAAAGGCCGTCGAGGTCATGCGGGGCCACGAGGAGTACGACACGAAGCACATGCAGGCTGATGTGTGGGATGTGACAAGCGACGAACTTCCCCCAGGCCTGGGCGAGGAGTCTGTCGACGTTGCCATCCTTGTTTTCATCTTTTCGGCGCTGAACCCCAATCAGTGGCAGAAGGCTGTAGAGAACGTCCACCGCCTGCTGAAGCCCGGTGGCCAGGTCTGCTTCCGAGACTATGGAAGAGGTGATCTCGCCCAGGTCAGGTTCAAGAAGGGTCGTTACCTAGACGAAAACTTCTACGTGCGGGGTGATGGGACACGTGTGTACTTTTTCGAGCTCGACGAGCTGAGGACTATCTGGAAGGGTGTTGTTGAGAAGGAGGGTGAAGCTGCCACAAAGGAACTGTTCGAGATCGAGGATCTCGGTGTTGACAGGCGGATGCTCGTAAACCGCGCCCGCAAGTTGAGGATGTACCGCTGCTGGATGCAGGGTAAATTCAAGAAGATATGAGCTCATATCCAATACAAAAATCCGTAAAAGCAACGTATGCCCACTCTTGCGTCTACAGTGTTCAGTACAGCAGGAGTTCTCTCAGTCTGTCCCTTTGGTCCTGGCCAAACCCTATAAGATCTAGATATTGGTCCAGTCCACCGTGGTGGGTTGTTATATGTTCCGCCATGGCCTTGATCATGTTTGGGTCCGTACGTCCCCAACTCTTTGAGAGGCCAATCTCTTGTATCTCCTTGAACCGCACGTCCGGGTCCGCAATGAGTGCCGCGTCCGTCAGCGCATAATCATGCTCAATGGCCGGTATCGGAACATCCAAGATCATGAGAACGAGTGCGACGATTAACCCGGTTCTGTCCTTCCCTTGCGTACAGTGGACAAGAGACGGGAGAGCCTGCTGATCGAGAAACGTTCGAAGGACCTATCAGGGTGTCAATCAACAGTTTTATGTTATGTATGGAGACCAAGAACTACGGACCTGAACGGTCTCGCCATGGCAGTAGTCGAGGGTATCGAGCCCGAGCCCAACAAGGCCGCGCACTTGAAAGACTTCACGACCCATGATGGCCATACCCTTGACACGTTGACCGATTATGCGGAGAATATGAGTTGACTTTTTATCGAGACTGTGGGCTATCTCCAGACATGTCTTCTTTTGGTCTCTGGTGGAGGGACACTAACAATAGATTCCACCACGACAGCTGCCATGCGAGATGCCGCTGCAGTCCTTTCCCCGCTAGGCTGACATTAACGTAGTGCAGACCAGGGATCATGGCGCTCTGAGCTAGTTCATCATTTGTGTGGATGGCGGCTGCGAGACCAGGCTGGTGCAGTGGTTGACGCTTTTGCATCTGCCTCAGATGCTCGGTCCTGGTAGTCCTTAGCTGTGTGTGGGATCGAGATCGTCAGGACGGAACGAACTTGGAACGTAGATCCACGACCGTCTTGATACCAATGTCATCTTTCAAACGAGCTCTGTCCTCGGAGGAAGCCTCATCTAGCTGATCTCAGCATATACGGACATGCAGGAGAAGTCTCACTTTTAGGCTGTCTGTACCGGGTCGAGCTGAGCGAAAGAGCAGGCCCTCTCGGAGTCGTCTGGTGTTGGGCAGTCAGTCTTGTGCCACCATGCATTTCAGGGCCTAGTAGTACCTCGCGCCCAGGAAGTTATTGACTGTCGCACCCACATCGCGCAGGTTCACGATGGAAGTGACGGAAACAGAGGCTGACATGATTGAGAATGAGTCACGATGCCGTCCACGTACAGAAAGGCGGTCCCCAGCGAATTGGTCAAGCAGGCCAGGTGAGTTCTTGGTGCCAGATGGAAAACAGCTTGAACAGGTCGTTGAATAGATCCAGTGCAGGTATCTCCTACCGTCGCGACCTGGTGCATGGATTGGACGAATCTGCGTTTGTCCTCGGGCCCATCACTGGAGTCGGGCGATCACTCGCTCGTTGGCGGGCAAACCGATTTTACCCCCCCCTGCGGCACAGTCTCCACGAGCCCTCAGCACGAAGAAGAATTGTAAGTTAAAGCGGGCCGGGCGGCTGATGTCATCAGCATTCGGGGCGCCGAGGCCGGTGGGATTTACAGGGTCCTGCCAGGCTGGGCGGGCGGACCATACGTGAGCCGACCTGGACCCGGCTGCTGGTGTGTCTAGCTTGCCAAGATAGGCAGATCACAATCTTTTCGTCCGGTTGTGGACAATCATCTTGGCCGTTTGGGACGGTAGATCGGCTTGATGAGGTGGTTGGGTTCTCGATGCTTGTTGGACAGAAGCATCGTGCAGAGGAATGCTGCGCATCATGGGTTGCTTCGTGAGTGTGCCTCACCCAGATGCTTGCTCTGGGTACCGAACCGGAGGCACCGAAACCCATCGCACGAAGTACCGTACCTCAAGATGACACGCCTACACGGATGGCGATGGCCCTTGTTCACCTGAAGGAAGGTGAGGTGCCTCAGGTGGGTGCCTACTGCCCAGTGACATCGCTTGAAGCCATGTGCTCTCGTGGTGCCACAGCACAGCGTAGGTAGCAAGGGAATGGTCGCACCTGCCACCCCAAGGGACCAGAAGCCGCAGGTTCCAGCGTCGAAGGTACCCTCCCCCAACCCTCCCCGAATGCGCAGCACCTGCCCCCACCCATCCCCCAGCAGCCGCTAGGATGGCGCTAGGCACAGCTCTCTCCAGCGGGGGCGTCGCAAAGTGACGTCATGGTCATGTCTTGCAAGAGCGTCCCAGACAAACGAGGAGCAACAGGCCAGAGCGACCAGGCTCCGATTGCCCTGGCTTGTTGGGCTAGCAATGCGCCGTGACACTCGGTCGAGCCATGCCATCACCACTGTCGGCTGCTCGCCGCACCAGTGCGCTACCATTGAACGCAACCGATCTAGTCTCGTCATGCCCCTCGAACCAACTGTCAATGATATAACCTAGCCCTTTCCTCATTTTCCTCTGGGTGGCATAACACGTTCCCGAGGCCGCACCCCAAAATACCTAATCCCACCAGCTTGTTTGCACGCCCACCTTGGTTCCTCGGTTCCTCGCTACCTTGTCCAAATACGAACGCACTACGCAAGTGTCTTCGCACGCAGCTCAGCTGCCCCGGTCGCCTGACTACCCGACTGCAGACCGCTGCGTCCTCATCTTACGACACGCATTCGTTGACTGTCTTGTCTACCTGATTGACCATCCAAGGGTGAGCTTGTGGAGTTTTGGGTGTATGCACTTCGCCCACTTTCAACATCCCAACATGTCGCGGTCCACTGTACAGGATGCCAGCATGGCTGAGACACAGTACCAAGTTGTGACCCCAGGTACGTAATTTACGTTTGTACGAGTCTTGGTGCCTATGCTTGGGTACGGTAGTCGCGAGCCGGGAGGTGGGAGGGGAGTCATGGGCCGAAGGCTCCGTTCATCGATCAATCAATCGGCCGAGCAGATAAACCCTTGACGAACCCTGCAAATGCAAAGAAGATCCCGACTACACCCCTACCCTACACATGCCTGACCTCACAGTGAGCTCAACTGACGACCAGCTTCCATAGCCGCTCTTGCTGGAACCATCAAGTACGCCAAACCGCAAGATCTTCCCAGCTTTCCCTCACACGGCTTGCGACAAGACGGCGCTGCAGCAGGTGCCGCAGCGTCATTAGGCTGGGCGAACCAGAAGCCCATCAACCCGTGGCGACCTGACAAGTCGTCATCCGCATCCGCCGCTGCCGTTCTAGCCAAGGACTACAAAATGGCGCCCCAGTGGGAACCAAACGTCAGCTCTGCTGGCGCCAAAGCCGCGCTCCTCGCAACGCAGTCCGCTGGCAAGTCGCAAAACTCATCCAGCACAGCACGACCTTCGCCCACCGCAGGTTGGGGCAACTCGGCCGCCGCTCAGGCCACTCAGGCCGCGCTCAACCAACGGCACTCCACGGCGCCTCAGTCACCTTCCAAGGCATCGTCTAATAGCAACCCCGCAGCAGCACAGGCGGCTGCCGCCATGAAGAAGCACACGCCATCTACTTCTATTTCATCCTCGCAAGCCGGCTGGGGCAATTCCGCTGCCACTCAAGCATTCAAGACCAGCCAATCTGTGCGAAAGCCTACCACAACACCTAGCTCCGACCAAGCCAACACCAACGAGCGGAATGGTCTTGGATCGTTGTCGGCTGCCCAGAGCGCCATGCCTGCGAGACGGCGACCTCGAGCAGCCTCTACCCCCAACACTGACGCGCTCGAGGCCAAAGCAGCTGCCAGTGCTCTCAGTGCCGCATCGGCTTACCATGGACCGACAGTGCGCCCTCAGTCGTCCGTCGGCGCAGGTGGCGCATCTGCCGTGACGTCCCTGCCTCGCAGCATGTTCACATCCACCCGGCGTTCAGCAAGTCAGAGGATGAAAAACGAGCCGATCTTCTTCACGCATCAGCGGTGGCCATGGCTAAGAAGATGTACACGCAGCAGGAGAAAATGGCCACCCAGACTCGGAGTAACCAAGACGTCGAGTCTGACGTCGCAAGCGCCGATGATCAACCCAGGCCATATGTGAACCTTCAGGAGGCCGCTTACAAGATGGCGCAAGAGAGACTTGCGAAGCTGGAAGCTGAGCATGGTCGCAGCAGAGAGTACCAAGAGTACTATGGCAACAGCGGAAGCATTCCAGGCCGCCGCAACACTCTTCAGCGACGCTTCACATTGAAGCCCAAGCTACGCAGGCGTTCTTCAAGCGAGGGTGATGGTGATGATCGCCAGCAGTCAGAGCGCATTCGGCAGCAAATGTCTATTTTTTCAACAAACTTGTCGAAAGTTGACGAGCAGAAGCGATCCAAGGACCGGGAAATGCTCCTCGCAGCTGCACAGAGGAACGTCAAGGCGCGGCTGCAGGGTATGGACGACAAGGTATACGCTGATACGGGCAAGTCCCGGCCACCGAAGAAGCTGAGTGAATGGGAGCTCAAGGCGCACGAGGCGGCTCAACAGATGCACACCTCGCGCAACAAGAACCATGGCAAAGTCGACATGGGCGGCGGCATGTTTATGAGCCCCGAGGACGTCGACGCCATTGCCATGAAGAAGGTCCAGCCTGTGCTCGACGAGATCAACGAGAAGGCAGCTGTCGAGCGCGAGAAGCAGGAGGTGATCCGACTAGAGGCTGAAGCCAAGAAGAAGGACGAAGAAAAGGCCAAGGAGCGGGACAGAGAAATCAAGGCGATCAACAAACAGATCAGAGGTGAGTATCCCACACATTGCATCCGCGCCACATGACCCATACTAATTGCCACGAAGATGATGAGAAGCGCGAGGAGAAGGAGCGTCGCCAGCACGAGAAGGCTGAGCAAAAAGCGCAGAAGGACGCCGAGCATGCTATCAAGGCCGAGGAGAAACGTCAAGCCAAGGAAGAAAAGCGCAAGTCAAAGCTCACACAAAAGCAAGCTGAGAACCCCAGCACTGCCCACGATGCCACCAACGACACCGACAGCGACGAGAATGAGGACATGGCGGAGGTTCACCCGCAGCCTATGGTCGATACAGACACTGCGAACCACTCCAATGAGGCGCGCAGCCCCAAAGAAGCAGGGTCCCCGACGCACAAGGTCAAGTCGTGGCTCAAGTCACGATTTACGCGACCCCGCGGCAAGTCATCGGCTGATGTCGAGGGCCAGCCCAAGGGTTTTGTCGGTGGCGCGGCCCTCCACAGGGGTCTCAATGACAGTACGACCAGCCTCGACAACCGTGCCAACAGCATGCGTGACGTCGCACTGGCGGGTAAGGGACGTGGGCGATCGGAGACAGCCACAACGCGAGATTCGGAGCCCATCAGCGTTGTGAGCTCCGACGATGAAGGATTTAAAGACGCGCGCGATGATCTTGAGCGGACCATTACACCGCCGACAAAGATTAGGGACCCTAATGAGGAGGCGAACGGGAGTCCGACACGAGACTCGCGATTTCGGGAGGTTCTGTAATCGAACGATGCTATGAATTGGTGGTTTGCAGGTGTTTGCGGTGTTTTGGGAGACTGGCCGGCGAAACAATGGAATGGCAATCTTTGTCTTGGGTAGACCTGTAGGAGGGTAATTGCAGTACAATGTGCATGAATTGCAAGTATTTCATCTGATCGCGATCGATCGGCAGTGTGGTGTTTACCGGCCGGAGCTTGTCGAGGCTTCAGTGCTAGTGTTACGCTAGCGCTACGGCTAGGCCAGCTGCGTCAGACTTGGATTTCGTCAGTGGGATGATGTCGGGGGAAGATGATGAAAGTCATAATGGCACGGCCCCTTGACATCATCGCCGGCAGGGACGGCACGTAGCAGCACAGCACAGGAAGGGAAGAGGTTGTATTGCGCAGGAACGCGAGGCACGACGTGTGTGTCACGACGAGATAGATGGGTCGTGCGGAACCTTTTTTGTGATAAAAATTTTGGTCATTATCAATTGTCTACTAAGGGATATTTTGTATGGAGGTATCATATGTTCCCAGAACTCTGGTGTCAACAAGCCAAACGCCCCCGTCACGCCCCGCTTGTAAATCCGTCAATGCAAGAAACCCCTTGAGGAAAAAAAAAAAAAAAAGAAAACGCCACCTGGCTCATCAGATCGTCACGTCCTTTTTTAAAAGTTGCTGCTCGGCCCCTGCGCCATGTACCGAGGGTACTGCTGGCCCTCGACGACGGGCGCGTTGGCCATCTCGAGATTGTCGTCGTCGGCGCGGGGGCTCGTGCTGCCGGAGCCGCCAGGCTTCTGGAAGCGGCGGGCGTGCTGCTTGGTGCGGACGGCGGGCCAGAGGTCAATGGCGAAGGAGAAGACGTAGAAGCTGAAGACGAAGGCGACGACCCACTCGAGGACGGCGGCGACGTCGGGGTTGCCGGAGCGCATGGTAACGGCAAAGGCGATGGCGATGGCGGCCTCGACGAGGATGAAGGCGAGCTTGACCCAGAAGGAGATGCGCAGGACGCGGTGCTCGCGGTACTTGATGCCGAGGCGCTGGTACTCCCAGCAGATGAAGACGGCGGAGAGCAGGTAGCCGACGATGAAGAGGCCGAGGAAGACGCGGTGCAGGCTCGGGTGGGCGGGCCGTGTCGAAGATGGCGAGGCAAGATGAGGCCCGACGGTGCCGACGAGGGCAAAGACGATGGTCAGCGCCTTGAGCACTTTTTCGCCCGTGCTCATGTTGGGCACGAGACGACCGCGGTGGCGCAGCCAGAGGTCGGCGAGGAAGGACAGGTCGAGGAAGACGACGGTCACAGCGCAGCCGGCGATGAAGAGGGGCTTGAGCGTCGAGGCGCCGACGTCGCTGATGTAGGCGATGGATTGGCGGTCGGCCATGGAGCTGTAGCGCTGGCGGTCGGTGTGGATGATCCAGTAGAGGAGCATCGAGAGAAGCATGCCGAGCCATACGACGCCCGAGATGACGGGCAGAACCTGGACTTGGTGAGTTAAGGTGCCTTTTTGATGATGGTCTCGTGTCGTTCTCTGTCATGACAGCTTACCCAGAAAGAAAAGATCTTCATGGTGACGGAGGATAGACGTGGATCACTGGTTCTTCTCGATGGTTGCGGTTGAGGATAGTAGTGATGGATGAATGCTTGTTTGTATGGGTGTCAGTGGGATGCAGAAGAATCCCGCCTTTGGCAAAGGTCTCGTGGTTGAGGAGAAGAGAGACAATGGGTCGGAACGACATCAAGATGCAGACTCTGTTCACAAAGGGCGGGCTTCTGGGTAAGTAAAGGAAGAAGACTTGCTACCCTTCTTGGCTGCAAGGATGTAAAGTCCGGCCGGGGAGGATGTTGGACCCGTCGCCATGTCCGCAGGGCCCGATCGGCAGATCGCGTTCGCGGCAGTGCTCAGTCACACAGGAACGACTTGGATGGGCGCCAGGCGGGAACTCAGACAGGAAAACCTAGACAGGAAATCTTCGATGACTCGGCTTCGCTCAGCCCGGAGACTGATGCCAGCCCATGACGTAGGCCGGCCAGCGGAGGGGGGAGGGGGGGAAAGAAGGAGCAGCGTGGGTGGTTACAGCGCGCGCTTGGCTTCCCGGGGGCCGGGGGGCCCCTACTGCGCGTCCACTGCCCACCCATCCGCGGTTTGCCTGCTGTGCAGCCCTGCTGCGGTGCCTGCTTACACAGCCAATTTGAGCATATTAACCCCGCGGTTCCTCCGGGTCGGGCCACTGTGCTGCTCGGAGGAGGCATCTGCTGATTGATCGCCTGTTAAGTACCCGACCATCATGTGTTTGATTCTTGCGTATTGAGGCTATTCATGATGGCGGCTCTGGTTGTGATGAGGAATCAATTGTCTTGCAAGCAGACCCTTGAGAATGACCGGCGCCGACGGGTGACATCAATGCCTCGATGCCGCCTCCTGCATCCGTCCGTTCGTCTGAAGAATGAATTCCTTGCTCCGTGGTCATGGCAACATTGCGTCATGAAACCTTATTGCTTCACCAAGGAAGAGCCCACTGACAGAAGCGGCACGCTAGCATGTGTTGGGCTGCTGAGCCACACTCTGTGAGCTGGCCATGGCCGCCGAGTACGAGTATCGAACCTGGCATGACTAATCGGAGGCCCTCTGCTCGGGAGTCCAGAGGCATGGATCATGAGCCAGCCAATCAATACCCTTGAGAGCGCAAGGCTGAGCTTCACCACCCTTGACCTTTCCCTTGAAGGCGCCTTGCCGCCGCCTCGTCTTTGACCCAACGCTGAAGCTCGTAGCAGCAGCCACCTTCACCCCCTCTCTCACGATATCGGTATCACCAGCCCAGCAGAAGCCAGCCACCACGAAGGCAGGGCAGGGACGTCCGCCATGTCGGCCTCACCTCTCGTGCTGCGGCCTACAGAGCCTCCGAAATCCACGTCGGCCGTCTCCTCACCGCGCAAGAATGCCTCGTCCAACCAGGCCTCGGCGAGCGCCACACCGCAGCCCACGGGCAGCGACGACAACAAGCCCGCCAAGCCCATCTCGCTGCCCCCTACCCTCGATCTCGCCGAGCAGATGAACGAGGAGGAGAAGAGGAAATACATCAAGGGCAAGAAGCTCGGTGAGGGTACCTATGCCATCGTCTTCCTCGGCCGCCTGCGATCCGACCCCGCCTCCCTCGTGGCCATCAAGAAGATCAAGATCCAGAAGGAATACCGCGAGGGCATGGCACCCGACGCCGTCCGCGAGCTCAAGCATCTCCAGGAGCTCCAGCACCCCAACATCATCTCCTTGCTGTCCGTCTTTTCCTCCAAGGACCAGAACCTCAACCTCGTGCTCGAGTACCTGCCCCTCGGCGACCTCGAGATGCTCATCAAGGACACGGACAACGTGCGCTACGGCGCCGCCGACATCAAGGCCTGGATGGGCATGCTCTGCCGCGCCGTTTGGTTCTGCCACGAGAACTTTGTCCTGCACCGCGACATCAAGCCCAACAACCTGCTCATCGCCGCCGACGGTGACATCAAGCTCGCCGATTTCGGTCTCGCCCGCTCCTTCGCCGACCCCCTGCAGCTCATGTCGAACCAGGTCATCACGCGCTGGTACCGGCCTCCCGAGCTCCTCTTCGGCGCCAAGCACTACTCGGGCGCCGTCGACGTCTGGTCCGTCGGCTGCGTCTTCGCCGAGCTCATCATCCGCCACCCCTTCATGCCCTCGGACACGGAGGTCCAGCAGATCTCCGTCATCTGCAACGCCGTCGGCACCCCGACCGAGGCCAACTGGCCCGGCGTCTCCAAGCTGCCCGCCTACACCGTCCCCGACGGCGACCCCGAGCCCCCGCGCGGCCGCGACTACTTCATGTCCTTCTTCAGCTCCGCCGGCCCCGACGGCGTCGACCTCCTCATGCGCTCCCTCACCCTCGACCCCTCGAAGCGCATCACCGCCCGCGACATGCTGCTGCACAACTGGTGGCACGCCCAGCCCAAGCCCACGCGCAAGGAGAACCTGCCGCGCAAGGATGCCGGCGGGGAGGAGCAGATGGGCGCCGACCTCAAGCGCCGCCCCGGCGTCATTGACGAGGACAGGGGGAGCAAGGTGGCGCGGAAGCTTGATTTTGGGAAAATGTGACCCTGCACAGCGTCCGAGGCATGGCGAGGGTTTGCACGCGAAAATAGGAATCAGATCAGGCATCACTTGGCGTTTGGGCAAAGGGGGGGCGTTCGGGACACATTCAAAAACCCAAAAAGGGGGGATGGTGGGTGCAGGAGAACCAGAAAGCATAGACGGCCACCGATCCAGACTGGCAACTGTGCCACGAATTTACAGGTTCCTTTTCTTTCACATGGCACATGTGCATTTTTGGGAATTTTGTCATCTTGATCGTGTTTCTAAATTCGTGCTTCGTGCTTCGTGCATCATTACATGAGCTGACATTCCATCCCGTACATGGCCCGCTCGACCTTGGTCTTGACCTGGTACCAGTCGGCGCGGCGCTGGGCGTACTCGTAGACCTCCTCGGCGCGGAAGATGCCGCCAAAGCGGTCACCGTCGGCGATGATCGTGGCCATCTCCTTGGCGTGCTGCGGCTCAATGAGGTAGATCTGGCTGAGCTCGCGCAGCGCCTTGAAGTAGGCCAGCAGGTCCTGGTTGCGCAGCGTGCGTATGTACTCAAAGTAGAGGTTCATGTCGGCGATGAGCTTGATGGCGCCGGCCGTGCTGACGCGCTGGCGCTTGAGGTGCTTGCAGACGGCCGTGAAGAGGCGAAGCCCGACCTCGCCGTTGAACACGTCGAGCATGGACTTGTCCGTGCTGCCGACGAGCATGCGCGTGTGCGCCGAGACGAGCTCGACGATGCGCTGCGCCGTCGCCGTCGGGCCCGGGTCCGCGAGGATGCCGCTGGCGGCGTCAAGTTGCGGGTTGTAGTCGGTCGGCAGCTGCGTCGAGCCGTGCAGGAATTCGACCTCGTCCATGAGCACGTCGATGCCTTTGTTGAGGCCCGCCGCCACGTTCTCGTCGAGCATCTGCTCCCACTTGCGCTTGGCGAGGCCCGCCGGGTCGAGAAAGTCGTTCTTGTCGGCAATCTTGGGGCCCGCGAGCTGCTGCTCGTAGAATACGTCAATCATCTGCGAGATGAGGTCGCCGACGTTGACCAGCTCGATGAACTGCACCAGCGGCGCCACGCCCGACTGGTCGTGGTGGCTGACCTCGCGCGGGTTGTAGTTGGAGAGATGCCCAACTGCCTTCTCGAAGCCGACCTGGACATGCTTCGTCCCGAGAATCCGCAGGAGAACGACAAAGATGGTCTCGCACTGCTCGCGCGCTTCTTCGCCGTACTGGCCCTTGAGTCGGATGAACTGCGCCGCCCGTCCAAGGCTCGTCTGCGCCGCGTGGACGAGGTTGAGAGCGACTTCAATGCTGAACAATGACTTGATGCCTTCGAGACGGGAAGCCATTAGCGCCGCCTTGGCTGCCAGCTCGTCCGTCGGCGCCTTGTCCGGGAGAGGACTCTTGCGCCCATCCACACTCCCCCTGGCGCCTGGTGTCTCAGGACGAGATAATTGAGGTGTGTTGAGCCCCGAACCGTTGGCCGGCGTCGCTGTCGAGGGCTTTGCGCCGCCGCCAAAGGGTGCTTGGAAGCTGGGAAGGACGCTGACAGGCATCATGACGACCTTTTTGAACGAACTCAAAAAGTCCGTCTTATCAACTTGACGATTGATGTTTGACATGTAAAAGGACTCGACGGAGGCATCCTGCTCTGATAACCTCTTTTCCCAGGTACCGACCTCTAACTCGGCGTGCTTGGTGAAAAAGTCCAGCTCCTCTTGCAGATAGAGGTCAACGTGCGGCTCAAATACTCTGATGGTCATCTCCCTGGCCTTGGTCTCGATCGTCTCCTTTGAGGTTTTCGGTGGCGTCAAAGACTGGAAGAACAGCATTGTCTGTTCGAAAACACCTGATACCGCCTTTAGATAAGCCCCAAGGCTTCGCTGATGTGCCGCATCAAACAAGGAAGTAGAGTACTCCAGAATGATGTCGTCTCGGATCTTCTCGATGAGCTCCCAGAAGGACGTTTCCGCTTCTGGAAAGATGCGTTCCATAATGGACGTCTGCTCATTGGCCTTCTTCAGCAACAGCTCGAAGAACACCTGTGACGGTTCGAGGTCGGCGTCGTCGGCCCCAGCTCTGTTCAGGCAGTCTACCGAGTTTGCCGATATAATCTCCGTGTCGTTGAAGATGGGGTGCTTCTGAATAAAGAGATCAACGCTCGCGGCGCCGCCGTTGAGCGTGTGAAGGACATGGGCGTAGCGCCGCATCCTGCCATCCACGTCCCAGAACTCGTATCCTTGTTCGAACTCTCGTAGTACGGCCCCCTCGAAAATGCCTGTCATCGTGAGCAGCTTTTGTTCCCGTTCGCTCCACCCTTGCGCCCAGTCACTCTTTGCAAATGTGTGCAGGTTGGACAGCATTTGGGCCTGCTGCTCCGGGTCTCGAAA